AAATCACTATGCAAACAGGTGTATTTCTCCTCTTGGTTTCACACCTAGCTCCCAAAAGCATTAGCATATAGGTGAGAAGTTGTGAAATGGAAAGGCTTGTTAGGGGAAAGAAGGCTTTACAAAGCCCCTCTGGATGAAACAGCAGAATCATCCCATCTCTCTCTGCGTACAAATGGATGGAGTGGCTGTGGATTGCTAGTTCCACCTCTGTCCTTTGCTGCTCTGTGGTGGAGGATTAAGGAAAAAATTGGGAGTTATGCCCCCCTCAATACCACTGAAATATAAAATCTGCATGTGATTTGGTGACCAGATTGGATTAAAAGCTACTCAAATTGTCTGCAGGCTATGCATCTGAAAAATTCAATTAATTTCGTGGGCAGGGCTAGCTTCAGTTTTCTGAGACTGTCTCTTCTTCCATTCACAAATCTACAAAAGACAGCCATAAGACAACTTTAAAGAGCATGAAATGCTTTAATTGTTGTGAATGGAAACATCAGAAGGAAAGCATTCCTTAAAACATTCTTTGCAAAACTGAGAGATAAGGTTGAAGAGTAATCTAGGACAAACTACCTAAGCTTTCTAAGATAGGCTATAATTTGCTGAGTTTCATATCCTATACTAAAGTGCTCTCATGGACCAAACTCATATTAACAAGGAATTTTTTAGATACCAAATGATATCTAAAAATGTGATTTCTATTATGCAGAGTGCATGCTGAGTACTGTGATGCATTAGCCACCCAGACAGAAGTTTGGGGGAAGTGAGTCTCAAAGTCTTTCAGACACATGAGCTTTGATGTAAATGTTAAGGAAGCACTTAAGTGCTATTCTTAAATCTGGCACCAGACCCTCCTTGATCTAATATCCATCTCACTTGCTGAGATACAGTTTTTTTCCTTATGATTAGGCACTCAGATAATCTCTACTCTGGAAATTTAAGCAAGGCTTGTCCAGTCCTGCTGGTTTTGACACATTCTTGCCCACTAGCCCCAAATGCTGTTTTACTGTCAAAGTGAGAGAGTAGTCTGCTACAGGGATGAGCTACAGGTCTTCCAGATAGTGCCCGAGTACAATGCAGGTGACAGGAATTCTGTAGAATGGACTGGTGTGGCATGCCAGAAATCCTGCTCTCCTGCAATCCTAACCCAATGGACTTTTCACCTGGTTATTTTCCCCAGTACTCCCACATATCCTAAATATCTTCCCACATGACAGGGAGTAGATGCACAGCAGTTTCTTGCTACAAAAATACCATTTTCCTGGGATGCAAGACTACACATTTTATTTCAGATACAATAAACCCACACATGAGACACCTTGGGTTTATAAGGGCCACATGTGGTACAGGGCTGAGTGCTAACCTGTACAAATAGTATCTCATCTATGTTCAGCAGTAGAAATGTAAGTCCAGGCCTAGGTGCCCCAAGGGCAGAAGGACAGAGTCCTAGATGGTTAGTCCAGACAATGCAACTCTATTTTTGGTAAGAAAATAATCATTCTCAAGGAAACTAAAAAGATTTTTCTACAGACCAGGTGGCTTATTCCATAAAATCTTTATTGTTTTCCTTTATTCAGGTACCTAAATTTTATGACCAAGACATTTATTTGCCTATGTGTTATTCCATATTCACCCTGGAGATCTCTTGCATCAAACAAATGATGGTATAGTTGAGAAATACAGTAGAAGGTGAATGAATATGAAAACATATGATGACAGAATGCTTTTATTGCGATGGCAAAATTAAGAAGCAAAGAGTATTTAAAAAAAATGCATCTTAATGTTGCAATATATTTATAATGAATTATTCTAAATTATAAGTTCTCATATGCAATTCATTGGGAAGTTGTCATCCTGAAATATGGCACTTCCCTCTTTTCATGTAAAAGCAGTACAGAGAAGGCATGAAAAGTACTAATGTTGTTATGTCTGGGCTATAACCTGATTGTCACCCATCAAAAATTAAGAGTTTGGAGGAAACTAAGATTGTGTCAAATTAAATTTTGCAAAAAATAGAGATGGAACATTTTTACAATCCCTTGTTTCTCATTCTGTCATCTTTTCTGTAAATTAATAATTACATTTGAAAAAAATCCTATAGTTGTGTCTTGCAACTACTAGTGGAAAACATCCATAGCATACCTGAAACTTTATTAACACTAATGTAAAGGAACAGTGTCTTTCATGCTTATTTAACATTTGCTTAGGCTCAGTAGCATTTTTCTGGAAAATAAACAGAAACATCCAGGAGTATTGGACAACTTCTCTTGTAGGCTGACTTTTAATAGGCAAATCCAGTTATGCTGATTGCCAAATGGGAATTCTTTTACACTGCATCAGTAAAAAAGAATAGTAATAGCAAATACCTGCATTCAGTACGTTTGAGGGCTGTCGCACCATGAGATGATAAATCAAGTGTGAAAGCATGCAGTGGTTTTTAAAAGCATCTGAAAACTAGCATCAAGCTAAAAACTCTGTGGCTGCATAGCACAGAGACACATTGCACCAGTACAAACACTTTGCCACTTCAGCTTGGTTCACACAATGCTAATTAAATTATTTTGTCCAAGCAGACCTGATGTTACCTCTGCTGCTCTCTGCATGTGCTGTTCTATACTCATATTGGGTTAGAAATGGTCTGCTGCCCTGAAGCCAGTGCAAACCAGCCTAAAGGAATAAAGTCAGCATGTACATCACACTCTACAGTTAACTTTGCAGAATTGGTTCATGCATTCATGTCTGATCTGGATTAAACCTGCACAATGTGGTGAAATATATTAAGGAACACCGATTGTTCATCAGGTTAATTTGACTGAAAGACACTGTAGCCTGCTCATGGGGCAGCAGACCTGACAGAGCCAGAGCTGTGAGGAGCTGAGAGAAAATACTGATGCTACCAAGATGGTTCTCATTTCTCTGTACCTGAACTGCTCTAAAAATCCATGTGCTTCTTTATATTTTGATGTGCCCACTAAGGCAAGGTTTAGATTCATGAGTCACAGTCATGGCTTGGGATCACTGTGAAGTCTTCCCACGCCCATTTATCAGCTTCTCCTTTCCCCATGTGTGTCCTATCTTTGGTGTTAACATCAGATGGAGCAGGGATGGGAAGAGAGGCTAACTGTCTGTGACAGTGTAGCTAGTGACCCCTCTGATGAGGAGCCTGAAACTGTCCTCCCTTAACTCACCATGTATAGAACAGGACTTGATGGCTTCATCCTTTAGAAGCACTCTCTTCCCAGCACAACAGAATTAACAATAAAACTGAAAATAACAAGATGTTAAAGTCTATTCTCTGTCTTCTCTTCTTACAGTGTGTTCTGTATGTTCACAACACACATATCTCCACTCTGCCTGCAAACTACATTGAACAGATGGTCCTTATGCCAGCCCAAAAATTAAACCTGCAGCTTAATCCTTAGAAAGAATCTGAGATACCACAGTTCAGTGCTGACTGATGTTGTTCTTAGAAAGAAGAAACCAGAGAGACAGAAATATCCAAAATGCAAAAATATCCACAGCAAAAAGAGACAGTATCCAATGGACTGCAAAGCCTTTCTGCTAAAGCTTTTTCCTCATTTTTCTTTAGTGCTTTTCCATTAGCATGTGATTTCATCTCATGCCACCCTTCCCTTGCCTAGTATTAAACTACCAGATCACACTCATCTTCACCTTACTTCTGACAGTCCTGGTGGAAATAAAAACCCCACAGCACAGCTTTGAAATGAGACTCACTAGAGAAACATACCTCTCAGTGCTTCGCAGCACTCACATATATTCATAAAAGCATCAGGATGTCTTACTCAGATGACCTCATTTGCAACCAGAGCTCCAGCAGTTCGCTACAATGTAAGTGCTCTCTACAGCCAGAGAGAAGAACAGGCAGCACAGCCAGAGGGTTTGCAAACAGGGCTTTGAGGCACTGCTGGGAGCTGGTAGGCAAGACTGAGGTTTACCTAGAGGGGTCCATAACCATGGGATCATGCTGTGCAGTGAATGTTGGATTGAACTCACACAATTTTCATATCTAAAAACGAATAATTTACCGTTTACCAGGTTATTTTCAGAGAGAAACCAAGGTGATTTGCTTTGGTTGGCAGTTTAAAAATTGAGCTTTATTAGGATGAGACAAAACAATAAGAAAGTCTTGAGAATGCTAAAAGACTGAAAAAAGCTGAAGCACTAGCTGAGGTATTTTTAGACTTTAAGCTCTCCAGGGCAGTGATTGTCTGCTGCTGAGTATTGCACAAAGCAGAGCATACTGCTGGCTCTAAGCAAGCACAACGTCTCTACTACTGAATGTCTCCACATAAGGTAAAAGTAGAAAATACTGACACAAATAAATATGAACCCAGAAATGCTTTACTCAGAGACAACATCTGTAAATCAAAGTACGCTAAAGGATTCCCATTCTAAAATCTCTAATAAGCATGCAGCTTGATCATGCGTTGCCACAACACTCAGTTTGTCATATGTACTGTCTACTTGCTGCAGAGCAAAACAAGCCAGCTTGCAGGAAATAACTGCCCAAGTGTATGAGCTGATAGCTGTAACTCCAAAGACAAAGATTTTCTAATGCTTCTGACTCAGGTCAGGCTACACTAAATTGCATCAACTAGAGAATACCATAATTGAAACAAAAAAGAAATTACCCGTTGAAGCTTCTTTTGAAAAGGCAAAGAATTCCTAATCAAGAGTATGATTTTGCCTTCCTTTGCACCTCAGGACTTCATAATTGTGAAATGAAAACTGGGCAGCATGGAAAATACTACAATTATACACCACTATTCTCTACTCATTTACATTCAAATTCCATTTTTCATATGCCATACACAAATATAAATAGCTTCACAAGAAGTAATCATGCTCCTGGTGTTTTCCAAAATAGTAATAGCCATTCAACAGTAGTTTTAAACTCAGGGCATTGCAAGACCCAAATGGGATAAAAGAATGTATTGTTCAAACTAAAAAATAAAACAAAGGAAGTTAATCAAAATCCTTACTTGACTACAGCTGTCTTCAGACATCAGCCTTGAGAGGTATTTCTTAACAACTGAGTAATGAGTAGACACCTGAAAAAAAAAAGATTTCAAAATTGTAACTTGTTTGCTTAAACAGTACAAAAGTCATTGTAGAAAAAAAAGATATTACCATAGAATTTATGCAAAAACACAGCTCTTCAAGACGGCAAAACTACTTCTATCTTTTAGCCTTGTAAACAAGATGGCTTCAAAAGTATTGTTCAGGAAAAGAATTCAAGGTGTATTACAAGGAAAATAATTACATTATTTGAATTCTAAAGGAATCCGGAACACATATTTATACTTTCAGTAATTTGTTCAAGGCATTTAAAAAATAATTGCAATGAAATATGTAGGAAAGGAAAAAGCAACATCTATGAGGCATAGGTTTCCCAGGAAAAATACGGGGATCATCAGACAACAGAAGTATTCCCTGAAGTTATTGGGAAGATGTTAGAAGTGTCTCAGCAGAGTTAATAGTTTCATTGTGTTCATTCCTGATCATCTTGTGGAGAATAAAGAGAATGACTAATTTCTGAGATCCAGCTTATTTCTTTGTGAGTTCATTCCAAAGATTCTGAGGTTTGCTGTGAGGAGAAAAAGAAGAGAAATGGGTGATCTCATCTGTCTCTTCAGCAGCCTCTTAGACTTCATCTGTAGGTTCAGGCTGTATCACATGCATTTGTGCACAGACACAAATCTGCCTTGGACAGACAACTGCATTAAAACCAAACCAGCTTCATCTGTGCTGTCTCAGAGCACAGAAGGGAGAAGATACCTTGTGCTGGGGAGCGCTGCGAAATCTGAGCAGGATTGTATGTGGTGGCATGAGGTGCAAGCTCACTGTACTGTCTAGGAAAGTGTTGACAGGTGGCATTGCAACAGTGCTCAGTATGGCTGAACAATTACTCCTAGAACCACTGGTTATGGGCAGTACTGCCTCAAATAGGAGAAATCAATATTATGTTTGCTACTGGAAGAAGTAGTTAAAAAACCAAACCAGAAATAAATAAATGAACAAACAAAAACCCAAGAAAACAAAAACAAACCCCCAAACAAACAAAACCACAAAAACAAACACAAAAATAACTAACCACAGCAACACCACCACCACCAACTCCCAAAAACACCTCTATTGGGAGCCAGGAGAAAATTAAAACAATTTTTGTTGCCACAGATGCCTCTCGTGGTATTCACTACCACTTGGGTGTATGTAACAGTGCCTACTAGAAGGAATTTAGCAAGTCTGTGTGAGCAAGAGGAAAAGTGATGTCACTGATCATGCAACAAAAATGCCCTTTGCTTGAAATGAGCTAATTCCTTTAGATCGCAATCTCACAGTTAATTCTTTGGAGGTTAGAGTTTAAATACCTTTTCCTTCACAATCTGTGTGTGCATATCCCTTGGAGAGGAAGTGGAGAAAGGCTGGTAAAAGACAAATTCAGAAACTGTAGCTCAGTGTCACCAGGAGACTCTCCTTCCCTTTTGCATGCCTCGCCCTTCATTAACTGAAAAGACTGAGAAACAACCCTTAAAAGCTGGCCAGGGGTGCAAACCTAGGCCTTTTGGACAGAACTGGAAAAGTCAGGGAATGAAAACTGATAGCTTGGTTATATTAAAAAAAGGAAAAAAAGAACTATCTAGATGAATATGAAAAGGTAAAAAACTGATGTGATGGAGTGAAAATACACTATGAGAAATGGTGGTTGAAACAGATGACTACTAAAGAGTCTCTGTATCTCTATCTTTTGTGTTACAATATAAATATTTTAAGATATTAGAAATGTGGTAGGCTACAATCAGACAGGACACAGAAATGGATTTATTACCCTCTATTATCCTTTCTTCCCTGCTACTTGGGTTTAGATGTGACTGAACAGTTAATTACTTTCATTGCTGCCTTGGCAGAAAAACCAAGGAGAACAATAAACTTGAAACTTCTCCAAATTCTTCCATTTAGCATGTAATTATTTGCCAGTGTAAAGAGCCTTTGCCATGACACGCAGGTATAGTTTTGTTAGGGATGTCACAGTTTGGTTTGTCTGATTTAGCATTTCATGACGTGAAATTTCTTCTACAGATTTAATTATACTTGGCAGCAATACAGCAAATACATGGGAGTTGCACCCAAGCTACAGAATATTTCAAATTCTTCCATGAATCTGTAGATGACTTTACTTCAACATTTTCTATCAGATATTGTGGACTAATGTAGATATTGGCTGCTAACAGAAAGGGTGGCCCCATATTCTCTCAGACTGCCTATTCCCACCATCATCAGCTGTACCAGAACTGGTATTTGTAGGATGAGTCAGATCACCAAGCAGCTGTACAAATCTCATGCCTACCCTAAAGAGTAAAGAGAATATCCAGTTGGGGGTGGCAGGCCATACTTATGTCAGATTACAGTGACTAGTACCACCACAGGCTAAAAAAATGTGCAGGATATTGCTCTCAGCCTGCAAGCAGAAACCTCAAACAATAGAAAAACTCAGCTGAGAGCACTGTGTGACCTTTCAAGTTAGCATGCTGGCAACAAAGTGTTTTGAAATGTGACCATCTGTTTTTGAATAGATAACTGGAAATTCAATTTATCATGCCCCAAGTTCCTTGACCCACCAAGCACCAGTAAGTCATTACTTGCCTGTTCTAAGATCATGAAGTTATATACAACCAGGTCCCTTGTTTTTTGCCCATAGCTAAGCACAGCCTCTGAGAGTGAAAGAATGTCTCAGCTGCCACCTGTATTCCTGAACACCTAACCCAGCACACAAGGAAGCACAGCAGACCAAAGGCCCTTACACCAGCTTCATTCAACTCTGCTTTTCTTTAATTTTTAACCCACAGCAAGTTGTGAAGACCACTGATGACCCAACCTGAAATCTGTTTCCGTGTTATGTTCTTAATTACAGATGTTGACTTTTGTTATGCCGAAATCATATTGGTATCATAATTTCTGTCTATGAAAACAGAAAATTCCCCTTTTTACATGTATACTGAAGTGTTGGGGTTTTTTTTACTACAAATGGAACAGCCATGCCCCATATCTCTAAAAAATTACTAACAATAATGCATTAGAAAATAAGCTGAAGCTGAAAAGAAACTCTCCAAAAGAGATGAGAAAAAATGAGAATCATAGCCCAAAAGAGAGAAAAAATATTAGGAAATAGCAAGATCAGTATAAGAACTTTGCCTGAGTGAAACCAAAGGGATTACCACCATGTAATTCAAAATTGTGTTTTATATGTAATGATTAAACTTGTCAGAGCATTATTAAAAACTGTAGTTCAGACTCTTGCTCTACCAAAGATTTTCAAGTGAAAAGTGGAGATTTTCATAATTTCTTAAAACCACATCTATTGAACATACACTGTGAATGTAGTTTTGCCTATTAATAGCAAGAGACCTTATAAGGAAAAGAACTGAAGTACAAACTTCTATAAGTTAAATTTATTCTGTTCCACATAATGATTTTGTCAAATCAGGCCAATTTTTCTGATATTTATCGGGTGAATATGAATCTCCTTGTGCCCAGAATAGAAATAATGTCAATTTGTCCAAGGTCTACTCTAATCTACTTCCAAAATCTATCATCTTAGATGTGCCACATGTTCCTTTTGTGGGTAATAGCCAGCACTCAGCCAGGGCCTGTTTACAAGCTGGAGGATCCTGTTGAATACTGCTGCCAGAGAGGAGGCAGGGAGTTGGGGGGATCCTGTTGGGGTGTGCTGAGAAAATATCCAAACATTATGAACCCACAACAAGCAGAAGGTTTGCAAGTCCTATCCACATCAGCCTGAGTGATGAAGGGGTCATGGGCAGAGTTCACCCCAGTTTCTTTACCCTGGAACCTTCTTTCTGGGCTGTTATTACCAGAGCAGGATAAAGAGCTCTTGGATACAAAAGATTCAAGACAGAAAGGAAATATGTTTCAGACTTGAAAGGAGACAGTCCAGGCCTAAGGAACTGGCTTTCTATTTTAATTCCTTCTGCCATCTGAAATAGCCATTCCCACTAATTCTCTTCAAATTCCTTCCAGGAGTCATCTGCTCAGTGGGCAGAGTCTCTCCAACTGCCTAAAAAAAGTGTTCATCCCACTGCATGAACTTCCCAGTTTTCTAGCACTTAATCATTCTCCTGAAACTTGGCCATTGTTTCCATCTTCACCCCTGCCCTGCAACATGTACAGATGCTTCCTGTAAAGCTGAGCACTTTAGTTGCACCATTCAGGAATGTGGAGATAAACTGGCTTTGAAGAATTTCGTGATATGCTTGCATGAAAGGTGGTGCATAAAAATAAAGTGTTTCATTGTCTGACCAACTCAATCAGATCTTGTCTTTTCATTTGTTATCACAGAAGTAGACAAAAGCCCCTTATTAGCAACAGTTGTTCATAAATAAGTGCACACAGCCCCAAATATATCTGTGTGTATCTATGTGTTCATTGGTGTGAGCTGAGAAATATTTTACCTGAAAACCTTACTGATGGGCATCCTGATACATCAGAAAAAGAACCAAGGATTTTATTTCCTCTGTGTTGTTTTTGATCTGGAGTGAAAAAAAAAATAAAAATAAGGCAAAAGTGCAACTGCACTGTCATCGTTGCCTCTTTTCCACAGCTATAGTATCTCTCAGAATGTGTTGAAATTTCAAAATGACAGATAAACATGGGGAATATTTGGAAAATATTATGATTCTCTTTAGCATTGCTGCATATTTTTTCTGGGTTTTCTCACTGATCTTAGGCCTCTGCTCATATGAATTCCCCAAAAACTTACACAAATATGTTAAATAGCAAAGAAGAGTTGATGATGTTTTAGAAACATGCCAAATAACCATTTATTTTCCCATGCACAATATTTAATAACTGATTTTTAATACAAAGTATTGACTGTTTTGTCAGCTTCAGGATTGTCTCCAACAAACTGAAGAACCATTGTGAAAAAACAATTGAGGGAAAGAATGAAGAAATGGATCATCTGAACTCTTAGCCTGCCCTCATTGCAACAGCAGGTCCCAGGCCTTGCAGCTTTCTTTTTAAACAAACACAGCT